TGGCCGAGACTGACTGACCTGACCACAAAAGGCCCGTCTCGCCTATATTATCAACCGTTCGAAAGCACGCCGACAAAGAATGTCGTATTGAGATACAAGGGGTCAACGAGGAGACATTTTTGTTGGAAAATGATCTGTCCGAAATGTTGTCTTCAGACCTCAAAGCGTTAACATTTGCCTCCTCTCATGTTAGACTATTTTATTCCTAGACAAAAATGTAGTTGGATTTTGTGCAGGACACTAAAAATTTTGCTCTATACGATTTGCGCCTTTTTTCAGGCCATTTGCAGCCCCCCATACCGTACCTCTCCGCCTAAAGATGGCACTTTCCCTTGAAATTTGAAGCAGAAAGAGCATGATCACGAGCTTTTCAAGGAATACTATATCCCAAACGCGTTTTTACAGCATATACCAAGCGCTTCAAAAACGAGCATGACCTTCAGACTATACACATCCCCCACCCCAAAATCCCCCAAAAGGAGTGCGATCCGAGCCCCAGGGGTGAAAAGGCATGATGTTGATGGCGGTGGGCACATGATGAGAGTGTTAGTTGGAGCGGGAGAAGCCAAGGAGCCCCAGCCCGTCACCAGGAGCGGGATCGATGAGGCTGAGGGGGTGGGGCACCGGTTGTGGAGGGGGAAAGCTGAGGGGGACACCGGGGAGGGGGGCCCATATCGGGAGGAGCCGCAGCTGGGCAACCGACGGGACCTCCTCTCCCTTCGACTCCTATCCCCTTTTGCATCCACGCACACAGATGTAGACAGAAAGACATACATACGCACACGTACACACACCGTTGTTAGGCACGACCTGGGAGGATGGGAAGGGAGGCGGAGGATGGACCATTTGGACCCAGGTGCCATACCAATCTCAGCAACGGATTAAAGGGATCGACCCAGGGGCGGTTGAGGTGCAACGCTAACCCCAGGTGCCGACGTTGCAAAGGATTGGACTTGGTGAGCATGAGGTGCAACGTCGCGAAATTCAAAATGGCATAACTCTTTGCAGAATGTGAGATTTAGAGAAGGGTACTGTACGGTACTGTACTCTCATAGGATAATTTCGATTATATTCATCATCCCGAATACAACACCCCGAAATAATTAGCATAAAAACGTTCATTTGCATGGAAAAATAGCGCATTTTCTATAGCCTTCCTGGTTTTTCACGAGCATTTTCTCGGGATCAGTGCCACTCTTCTTTAATATCATGCGACCGACACCAGATTAAAGATCCAAAAAAACACATTTTTTCTAATGTTGATATTTTTGTCCTCCTTAGGAACGCTTTCCTTTGAACCAGCCTGAAGACGTCATGGCAATCATAGACAAATAGCACATACATTCCCGAACAAGAAAGTACAATAATGAGATTCTCCTGTCAGTTTCCAGATGAAAGCTCCAACTAAAAATTAACTGTGCTGACACGTCGATCTAGCTACAACCCATACCCTGCTTTCCTAATCCGACAAAAAACTCGAAGCGTTCCGGCTACAGCCGATCAAAAGCCCCACACACGATCGATGTACACGAGGCTCATTCGGGCAGCCCGGGCTCCACACCGCCGCCTCAATTTCCAAACAATTCATTTTAGGGTGAGCCAGCCGGTGAGCTGGCCGAGCATGAGGGCCAGATTTCTTCAAATCACCATTTTCTGAATTTCTCTCTGCCATTTGCCACGCCATTTCCATCGTTTCGTTTCACTAGTTAACGTTCCAGGAGCTTTCGGATTTTTTAGCGTTCGGGCACTTTTAGGGGCCCCTACAAAAGGGCTGACCGAGTGCATGGAAGAAGAGATAGTGAGTGAGTGACAGATGGATAGAGAGAGAAAGAGATGGATTGAAGAGAAAGGAGGACCAGAGGCACTGAGCAAACAACGACACACCGACAGGGCCGAGGGAAGGCTCCTCCGCTCGAGCACCACTCGGTCCGGGGTCTCTGACTGAGCTAACGGGGAAGTCACCTCAAAGCCAACCCATACCCTGCTTTCCTAATCCGACAAAAAACTCGAAGCGTTCCGGCTACAGCCGATCAAAAGCCCCACACACGATCGATGTACACGAGGCTCATTCGGGCAGCCCGGGCTCCACACCGCCGCCTCAATTTCCAAACAATTCATTTTAGGGTGAGCCAGCCGGTGAGCTGGCCGAGCATGAGGGCCAGATTTCTTCAAATCACCATTTTCTGAATTTCTCTCTGCCATTTGCCACGCCATTTCCATCGTTTCGTTTCACTAGTTAACGTTCCAGGAGCTTTCGGATTTTTTAGCGTTCGGGCACTTTTAGGGGCCCCTACAAAAGGGCTGACCGAGTGCATGGAAGAAGAGATAGTGAGTGAGTGACAGATGGATAGAGAGAGAAAGAGATGGATTGAAGAGAAAGGAGGACCAGAGGCACTGAGCAAACAACGACACACCGACAGGGCCGAGGGGAAGGCTCCTCCGCTCGAGCACCACTCGGTCCGGGGGTCTCTGACTGAGCTAACGGGGAAGTCACCTCAAAGCATTTTTCGGGGAGTGAGAGATTCATGAGGCTCTTCATTAAAAAATAGACAAATCAGTTTTCAAATATCTTTGTTTTAGGTGGTACTAGAGCATCCATATATATGAATATATGGATGCTCTAGTACCCAGACGTCATTATGTTCATTTCCAAGCACCATATCACAACATCCACTCACAAAGGTATATCAACCATCTCACTCTTATCTTCTTTAACTTCTTCCCCACCACGTTGCACAGTCCACTGAGCCGGGCTTGCATCGGCTACCAAACAAAACACCAGATTTGTCCCGATCAGAATTGCCGAATGCAATAGAAATACATTCCTCCACCCGCCGTAACTAAAAGGGGAATTTTTAGCTTTCTCGTTCTTTGACTACCCCGCTTCTCCTAGGATTGGGGTGACAATAAAGGGTTCTACGAGGATACATAGGGCCCAAATGTTGATGATCTAAAATGGGTAATCTGGGGCGATAATGAGGTAATTTCACCTGTGTCATTACAAAATGACTGTATTGTCGTGAATGGAGGGTAGCACATTTATTAAAGCCAGCTGTGTTAAAACCGATCATACTTTCAGTGAATACCTGAAGGCGAGAAAATAATAATTACCGTACGGTCTATGGAATTTAAATACCTACCAAAATTATAATATTTATACTCGGATGCGTATTGTCGATAAATGCCAGCAAAATAAACGTCAAGCCCGATACGCCCAATGCGCAGGTGTTGAATACTTTAACTTTTAAGGTTTCGGACAGGCACCTAAAAAAAAATTGATACATAAAAATTTAGACTTACACCAAGGAATCGGACAAGATCCCGGAAATCAATTTTACTGCAAATTGAACGATTACGGGCAATGCTGCCATGAAACCTAAAAAATCCAAAAAATTTTTGAATTTTCCTTGGCCGACCTGTATTCAATATATCATATTTTAAATAGTCTTTCATATACTGTGGGTTGAACATTGTTACAAGCTGTACGGAGAGCAGATCTCCCAACGCGGCAATCCACACTCCCCAGATTACTATTGAGGTCATGATGGATTTGTATGGGACTTTTGAAGCTTTTTCCTAAACAATATTCTATTGGTTGGGGCTTGATAAGGTTGCCTGATTCTTCTTATTAGCTTGAATCCGCTCTAATTCAACTGGGCGAACAAATGGATGTATATTTGGATGGTCTCTAAAAAATGAATATCAAAAAACCGATCTGCTTACCTGTAAAAAATGAAAAACAATGTGAAGCAAACAGCGGCAACGATGGCATGAACGTAATAAACGGCTGGCCAGCCCCAACTTGATGAGCATAATGCACCTAGAAGCTAAGGTTCAATAATTACTTTGATTGGACCCACCAGATACAGGCATTGTGAAAATATTGCTCAACTGTGTAAAACCGGTGCATAAGGCCAGGAAAAGACCATGTTCACTAAAAAATAACATCTTTGTTGTGATACCGTACCCTAATGGTGCCCAAATAGCTGTCATGGCACCTATCAAAGGGGAAGTAGCAGCAAAGGCAACACCCTAAAACCACATTGCTAGTATCCAAGTTATATTTTGATACCTGAATTATGCGAGCAGTGAGAAAATAGCCAAAACCAGCTTGATTGGCTAGGGGAATAAGGGCCGTCGAGACTAAAATTCTTCATTTTTATTCAATATTAAAATTTTTGAGGCAATATAAAATATATTGTTCAAGTTATCAACTTATATTTGAAAGTTTTGGCATCATTAGAGAACTCACCAGCCGAAATAACACCCGCTGATAAGAATAGATATCTGTGCGAATATTTAGAAAATAAATAAACGTATGGCACACCGCCAACTAACGTCCCGACGGCAACAAAAGACTGTAGTAGGCTAAAAATATAAATCTACTTTTTAAAACCCCAAAAGCCATACTTTTTCTGTTGTTTTGTATAGTCCTGTCGATGATGGCTGGACGAAGTATCGTTGGAAATACAGATTTTCGTAAAATTATAGGTAGACATATTTGATAGGATCATTGTTAGGCACATTGTGGTAATTACAAGAATCTAAAAGTCCTAGTAAAGAGTAATGCGTTCAACCTACAAAGTGGCGAGCACCAAAAAACTGCAGCATTTTTGACGGGTGCGCTTCGGCAGTGATTTCAGCAGGTAGCCAAATTTGGGGGAAATGGTTGAGATAAGGGGAAAGCGCTGATCTTTCGAGGCTGAAGTTTTGGTGTGAATCGTCACTGAATGTACTTTGTTATAGTGTTTAGTCACGGCGTTCGAATTCAATGGAACAATTTGGGCAGGATGGAAATCGTTTGAAACTGCGAGACAGGCAAAATTTTTGAATTTTTTTGGTTAGAAAACTGTTCGAAATGGCCGTATTTCCCGAATATTTGGGCTGAATGTATTGGATATCGTGTTTCAGGTGATAAATTCCTTTTTATTAACTATAAACAGGTATTAGTGGTGTTTGCTGCATAGATGGGTGCATAGGACGGATAGGTGTGCAGGTCAAATATCCATGCAGCCCATGTATTCATATTTAGAACTGTGAAGAAGATGCAAAAGATGTTGAGGAAGATTCCACATGAAGCCTCAAAAATTATTTATAGATTAAGAGATGGACAAGCTATTGTTAAGCAAATTAAATTACTTACCATATCCATTACACTAATAGTTTTCGTTTCATAAACAATTGCATTTGAAGAAGTAGCCATTGGAAGCATAAAAGAAAATGAAGGTCCGATAGCGCACGGTATAGCAAAGTATAGCGGATGGGCGCCCACCTTTTCAGCCTAAATAGGCTTTAAACTAGTTAAAGACCGTCAGAACGATGAAATATCGTTTAGAGCAAGAAAGTTGCGCACCGGTCGGGGTCGAACCCGCGTGGTTCGCTCCACGTCCGACGCGCCACTTACCACAGGGCCAAGTGGGGAGGGTCAGAGGCGCCCCACCCCAGAGGGCCGACCATGGGCACCCTATGACGCCTCTCGCGCTTCTTGGGGTGCCCGGGTGACAGTGCGCGTTCCATCGTTCTGGTAGTCTTTAAGCCAAAAACGATACCACATTGAAGGCAATCGGGATAAAAATACTGGCTGTCGAAGTATTCGTCGAAAATTCAGTCATCGTCACCACAAGTATTGAAATTATAACCTGGAAATAATATTATCATTTCCATATTAAAAATGTTTACCTGCATCCAGACCAGCGGTAAATGGCTTAAATTATTGTCGATCTGGCATGCAATCCAACTTGCGAGACCTGACATCTAAAATTTCGGCATCCTTATTGAAATCTCCATTTAAATTTTAATTGTCCAAACTTACTTTTACGCTTCGGCTTATCGCAAATCCCGCGCCCAGCAATAAAATGATAGACCATTGAAACCTCCTTGAAACCATTGACCAATCAAGTAAAGTACCGTGCGACAAAACTGACATTTTAAAAACGTTTTTGAACGAATTTTGGCAACATACTGTTTTCACTATAAGATTCCTCCCTTGAGAACCCTTGGTCAATAAACCTCGGCTTCCGCTTTGGCCATACGAACATAATAACGGCTATCATTATACCAGCCAACGCATCTGAGGCATACCCCCTAAACATCAAAGACTATCAAAGAAGTGTTTTTCTCACTTTTCGAATAGATTAACCCATCCGGGTACCACCTTCGGATCGCATGATATCCATAAACCGATCGTTACAAGAAACCAAAATAAACACGATTTTTCGGCAAAGCTGAAAATGTTGGCTTTCTCGCTGAATTCGCACAAAACCTCATAGGTTCCAATTCTTCATAAGCTTTCAAAACGGCGCTTCTTGTTCTAAATGTTGCTTGCCATGAACAAGGTCTGTGGGCTAATTAGTACCGTTTTTCCTCTTCCGCCTCCTCTGGGGTCACCTTATGAAAAATCCGGAGCACGTATTTAATTCCGATAAATTGAATCTGAAAAGCATTTAAAGTTTGGAGTTCTGTAGGACTTTCAACCTGTACTACCAACCAACTTGAGATCATGTAGAGAAACATTGGAGGAACCTGGAAGGCCATCCACGAAAAGTAAGTGACACCTGTTTCCTCTGGCGGATAGCGTCTAGAAAATCGATTTGGATAATAAACTTACAAGGAGTGCTTTTTTTTTTGAGTCATCGGCAAAACCTTACGAGACCTAGCTCATTCGATAAAGAATTCGATTCTGAACAAGACTCCGTTGTTCATTTTTGCAGAACGGCTATCCCTGATTTTATAAAATTAAAAAACTGCACCCAAAAGCCTATCTTTTGGCTAGAAAGGCACACATGGTAACAGACGGTCACTAGTATTTTAATTTTATAAAATCAGGCATAGCCATTCTGCAAAAAAGAACAACGGGGTTTTGTTCAGAATCGAATTCTTTATCGAATGAGCTAGGTCTCGTAAGGTTTTGCCGATGACTCAAAAAAAAGCACTCCTTGTTAGAATAAAATTACTCATAAAGAGTTTGTCGGAAAATTAGGTTTGGACCGGTTGCGTTGATCGTTCCGGTGCCGCCGATGAGAGAAGCATGGGCAACGATTAGCATCATTGCTTTGCAAATTCCTAATCACCAAAATTTCTTTTTTGAGTTGGATTTTACCTCTGTCTTTTGGGGATAGGCGTTTCACGTCCAGTTTCACCGGTCCTGAATCGATGATGGTATTTTGAGTACCGTCTGGCCATATCTCCACGATATCTATAAATATATTAGGGATAGATGTCCTAATTGTATGTAAATTTTCTACCTTTCATCCTGGGAATCATAATTGTTTCTAAAAGAGCATAAGCTATCGGTGCCATCAATGCGGCTGTTGCCGTATCGGAGATCCATAGAGAACTGTACAAATGTGTTGAAACTCCTAATTCTTGATGAAACTTACATAAAGGAAGTGATCACCATAAATCCAAGCATCAACCTGAAAAACCTTCTAAAAATAAGCTGCTTTTTTTAAATACCATTGCGGTCTCGTTCCGACATGCGCCAAAAACTTCAATGCAACCCTTCGATGTAGCCCGCAATCCTCAACGGCAAGTGCAATCAGCATTGAACTCATGAATAGAAAGTTTGTATCCTAAACCCACATTTCAAAGCCGAATTTAAAGCTTACATTCATATAAGCTGTACTTGTCTCGCGGATCGGAATTACTCCAAGGATCGGTAGAACGATTATTGGTAGAAATGCCGTCACACCAAGTGGAAACACCTCCACAACCCAATAGGATGACATTAAAAGGATGCAAAATGCACATCTTGCCGCCTAGAAGTTCATAATCATTTTAGAAGTTTCCCTGTGTTAGCTTACCGCGGTGCCAATGCACAGGATTGGACTGAAAACTACAGGCGCAATAAAAATAAATAGTAATCGAAAATTTACTTTAAAAAATGTGTAATAGTTTTGGAGGGACATGAAAGGGAAGGGCTAGACCAGAAAGGCAGCAATACAGCAGTCAGTGACTATGGGATGAGATGCAAAGCTTCGTCTCGCAGTACTCGATCGGACGGGTCATTCGGTGGAAAGGAGAGCGGCAGTGTTCTCACACCCACCATAAAATCGTTGCCCTTATTGGTCAAGCGTAGAAAAACGGGTGACTAGGAAACATTGTGGCAATCATTAAAATAAAGCGTTTGGCAAGCCTGAGCAAAAACACATGAAATTATCATTTTAATTTTGAAAAGTTAGCTCCTCTTAAAAGTCGCTTTTAGAAATTTACAAATTCCAGACCGAAACATAAAACAACGAAGCTTTTCGGGATAAATTCAGTCTGTTCCAGTAGCATATCATGAAGATACGTATCTTTTTCCCGCTTTACTTTAAAAATTTTCTTAATCCCTATAGTATAAGTACTTGTTGATACCATCCACTTATTGATATGATTTCCGGTCAGTCGACACTCCCGTTTCACCATTCTTATCTCTCGATTCCCATATGATTTGCTGACCCTCCCGTCTCCTCTGCCCATCGATGGAGTCTCATGCCCTGGTTGTTACACAATCACGTCGCGTTCTCTGTTCTTTTAGCCCCCCCCCCCCGTCACTTTTCCTTTCTTTTTACGAACCCACTTTGCAACTCCCATTTGAGGGCAATTTTTAGTGGTTTCAAACCAACGGTATGAATTCCTGAGTTAGAAACCGGTCACAAACTTTAGAAAATTTCTGCCCCATTGGTCCTCCATAAGGCAAAAATACAGCCAAGACGTCGAACGTTTTACTAAGTTTTTGATTCTATAAGCCAGATTTTACGGGAAATATGATCATTCAATTTCATAAAATTTCTCCGCTTTTTGTTCGATTTAATTTATACGAGGTTCGAGATTGAGATTAATTTAGCCCTACGCAGACGGCATTTCGAAATGAATATTCTACCACATTTTTCTGGAAGAGTGCTATTTAATACCGTTAGGAGTCAGGTAGCTTTTTATCCCAAGTCTGTCAAGTTTATTTTAGCCAACATTTCTATCCAGCTTTGTCACCATCGTCTCTAGAAATCATAACAGCGGACAGGTATTCTTTCATTGAGACCTTGTCAAATTTATTTAGGTTAAGATCTCCGAAAGCCGACAAACCATAGCAAGACAAAAAATCAAGCAAATCGAAGCATTGTTGGTCCCCTTACAAAACCTATATCCTGATTTAGAAATGATCCCCTAACAGACCGATTTTATCGACGGCATACATACCTCCGGATTTCCTTAACCGAAAAATGCAATTTTCGCTGTAAATACTGTATGCCGCCGGAAGGCGTCGAACTGACACCAAAGAGCCACTTGCTGTCTAACGACGAGATTATCACATTAGCAAAGATCTTTGCAAAGCGAGGCGTCAATAAGGTATGGCTCGGGGTATGGAAACTTGATTTCTAAGCTTTGCAGATCCGGTTGACTGGTGGTGAGCCAACGCTGCGTAAAGACCTAGATTATTTAATTGGTAAGACTTGGATTCATGAATGTTATTCGTTTCAGCACAATTAAAGGCCATTCCTGGTATTGAAGAAATTGGAATAACGACCAATGGATTAATTTTGAAAAGGATTTTGCCAAAATTAAAGGTAAGCGGTTCCTTAGGTCAAAATTATTTTTTAGGAGGCCGGCCTTGATAAGATAAATATCAGTCTCGATTCTCTGATTCCGGCGAAGTTTGAGAAAATGACTAGAATATTTGGGTTTGAGAAGGTGATGGCCTCGATCAAAGCAGCCGAAGATTTGATGGGCCGAATCAAGGTATTTATGGTTTTGCAGTACAAAAACCTTTAATTTCAGATAAACGTTGTTGTAATGAGGGGTTACAATGTAAATGAGATCGTCGATTTCGTTGAGCTTACCAAGAAACGAGTAAGTTATTGGTGTTATTGTGAACTTACTTTTCAATTTTTTGCTCTATAAGCCATTCAGAACTTGGACATACGTTTTATCGAATTCATGCCTTTCGGTGGTAATGAGTTCAGCAAGTCAACATTTGTCAGCTATGCCGAACAATTGGCGCTGATCCGCGAAAAGTAACTGTCAAAACCAATAAGTTTTATAGATTTATAGGTTTGGTGACGCTCTGGTTCGCCTCCCAGATGGGGAAAACGACACATCAAAGGTGTACCTCTTAGACTAAAAACAACTTTTTATAGGCATATAAAATTGAGGGCCACATAGGACAGTTCGGATTTATTAGTTCGATGAGCGAGAACTTTTGTTCTACTTGCAATCGGATACGTTTGACGGCGAATGGAAATCTTAAGGTATGTTGATGGCATAACGTAGCACTTAGACAAATCTACGTGCGTAAATAGATAGTTTCGAATCTTAGTTGCCAAAAACTTATATATTAAAAATGCATATAAAAGGTGTGTCTGCACAGCAATGCCGAGACGAGCCTTCTGAAAGTGCTGCGAGCTGGCGGAACGGAAGAAGATATCGAGAAAACCATACGAGAAGCGTTACAAGGAAAGCATCGCCAGCATGCAGGTATTTTCTTCAACATAACTATACATAAAATATGTAAATTCCACGTTCAGGCCTCGACAATCTATTACATTTGGAAAATCGACCGATGGTACTTATCGGGGGGCTAATCTCTCCGAATGCTGGTATGGAGCTGTACTTTAAAATTTAAAAATTACGTGTTTAGGATTAAATTTTCTGACATTTACAAAATCTACCCCGCTAGCCATTCCACATAGATCATATTCCACAAAAGGTATAGATTTATTAATTAAATTTACATGATCCCAAGCACTTACCCATGTATCTTCTACCGGTTCTGCTCGGCAAGTCGATGTCTCTAATAAAGTACCCACAAGACGAGAAGCTATTGCCCAAGCTACCATAAAAGTACAGTACCCGAGTCCTAACCACAAATACAAAGCTTTTAGGTAACTCCCGAAATATTCATCGCAATCAAAGAAAACAACCTAAAAAAGGGTGATGTGCTAGCTGTTGCAAATATTGCATGTAAGTTCAATAAATTTTTCTAAAAATTATTTTTAGCCATACAAGCTTCTAAGCATACTTCTAATTTAATTCCGTTGTGTCATAATATTCCGATTTCGCAGTGCAAGACCAAATTCGAAATGGACGAGGTGATATATTTTCCAGGCCTTCGTGATCACCGATGAGAACAAGTCTTGCTCTGCTAAAAATCCATAATTTCAGACAAGCCATACAATTATTATTGAAACAAGTGTTGTGACGGTATCGCAAACTGGTGTTGAAATGGAAGCTCTTACTGCGGTTACCATTGCTGCACTGACTATCTATGATATGTGTAAAGCTATTTCGCAGGTACGAGCCGAAGAATTATCATGCTTAAATGTTGGTTTCAGAATATGCAAATCAACAACGTTCGGCTGGTTTCTAAAACTGGCGGCAAATCTGATATTTCCCCGTCGACTGTCCACGAAAATTAATTGTGGTTGTGTGATTTTGTTGATTTATTGGTTTTGGTTTTCTGAAGCTTGTGAAAAATAAGCGTAGTTTTGAAAGGAATAAAAATAGTCTGTCTAAATCAAGGGAATGTGTTGTAAAAAAGTGCTATAGCACGTAACGCATGGGAATATGAATTATCGGAAGTAAGTAATTTTTTGACGTAAATTTCGGGATACTAGAGCGAAATTACGGATTTTTTAGCAAAATCTCCCAGACCTAAAAATAGTTTTTGGACGGACCTACCGCATTTTTGCGGTAGGTCGCTCGCAGGGTGGTCCCCGGGTGGCACTACATTTTGGGTCTCTCCTGCCGAGAACAAAGCCAAGAAATGGGCCTATATCCAAAAGTTTTTATGTAAATTTTAAGGTGGCATTCTTAAAGGACCTCTTTGAATAAAAGTTACAAAAACCTTGATGTGTACGCTATAAATTAAGAATTTTTGTTTTGATTGTTATTGAATGTATTTGTATTTGCCTTTTTCGCGCGTCGTCTAGCATTACTTCTATACCTTTCGTGCAGTCAACCATTGCTGTTTGCCATTATAATGTAATGTACGTAGTTTGATATCCCAGGTAATTTTCATCATTTATTTTTATCATTATTATTCACAAAAATAAATAGCGCTCCATCCGGAGACAATACAGGCACTTCGAGATCATTACACGTGTCCTAATCGAGGGTGAGAATGTTTGGCTTTTGGGCTTTGCTTTGTTGTAGTGTATGGAAGATCAGATAGGTCGAATAAGGTAATAGTTAACGTACATAATTAAATTGGGGAAATGAGGAAGTGGAATCGACTGAAAGTTGCGCCCGAGTCATAAGAGAATAAATTAAGAATAACAGGCATTGTATTAAGACTGATATTAAGGCTCTAGTTGGTTAATTTTGGTATTGTGGCGTTCTTAATTTCTTGCACTCGTTGCGCCAAGAAGTCATCCATTTGTCGGACAGGTTGAGCGACCAGCATTTCCATAAATGATCGAGAAGTATCCGTGGCGATCTGAAATTGTGCTAATTGATGGTGGATTTGAAAGGGCGAATTTACAAATCCAGCTACATACCTTTTTCAGTGCTGGCTTAACAACTTTGTCGACAATAAAATCGTCTGGTGACGTTGTACTATTCGATGAAGCCATTGTACTTGTTATATTGTGGCTTGGAGCATCGTAAATTGGCCTGAAAAATGTGATATTACGAAAACTTCCCAAGAGAGCTGCAGCTTACCGTAACATTCGCATATGGCCAGTCCCGTAATACAAATTTGGCCGTCTTCGCTGGTTAAATTTGAAATTTCTGGGGCTCAAAAACGACGGCTGAACCCTTGGGAACAACGGGAAGACTTGTGAATAATCGATCATCTAGAAGGACATTTTGTATGTCATTACTCGATACCTCATTTGGTAAATTGTTGACGTATGGTTTTTCCACGTTATTATAATTTGACTTGATGATCGGATTGGTTCTAGGCGTGAATGGCTGCTTGCCGGGGACACCAATTCTAAAAGAGGCATAAGTTTATAAAAGCTAGGGTCACCGTTGCCATTGTAGATAATCAGCGTGATCCAGGTCGTTGCTTTCCACAAATGAATTCGGGATGTTCTGAAAGGGTTTATAAACAAAGCCTAAAGACAAAAGGTGGATGTTAAAAGCATTAATAGCAAGGTGTGAGAACCGTTATGATGCGTGGTGTAGTGGCGGGGAGGAATGTGAAGGGTTGTGGAGTTGTCGTAGGAGTGCCAGATGGAGGCTCTGATACAGCAATAACTGGTTGACCAGCAGCTAGGAGGGCAGCCTGAACGGTTACGGTAAGGGGATAGCCTAAAGCTAGGGGAAAAGCTTGGTCAGAGATCTTTCGACTACGCTCCGCAACGAGCAACGCTATTTTCCATTGTTCAATGGGGTAAGGTAATTTTATGCCAAGCGGATGAAGCTAACAAGGGAAGGGCAAGTGCACGAAGTGGAAATTCGAAAAACGCTCGCGGCTACCCCTAGGTTATCGACTACGGCGATTCCGTTGCAGTACTCAGAATTAGCCACCGAGGTCTGTAAAGCGAGATACAGCACTTCCGGAAAAAGCGTGATTTGCATGTGCGTAATTGGGAAGCCACTAGGGGTTTATGAGGATCTTCCACGTATCTACCACCAGCTATGAATTGGTCGAGTGCCAAGCCACTCGCTTTTTGAAATACCAACGAGGGTTCGGATCCGCTCTGATTTTTTTTTTGCTTTGTAGAGCCTAATTTGCAGGTTATTGCCCCCGTTTTCTTCATAGTTGAAAGAAAATTCAATTCTAGATCCAACCCAAAAATTACAAAAGAAGAACACTGAAATCCCCGCACCAGCTATCGCATTTTCGAATTGAATTCCAAAAAAAGAAAAACAAAAATGAGCGTGGATCCGAACCCCCGTTGGTATTTCAAAAAGCGAGTGGCTTGGCACTCGACCAATTCATAGCTGGTGGTAGTTACGTGGAAGATCCTAATAAACCCCTAGGGGCTTCCTAATTACGCACATGCAAATCACGCTTTTTCCGGAAGTGCTGTATCTCGCTTTACAGCCTCGGTGGCTTGCTGAGTATGCATCTCGCCGTAGTCGATAACCTAGGGGTAGCCGCGAGCATTTTTCGAATTTCCACTTCGTGCACTTGCCCTTCCCTTGTAAGATTTCTTCTATTGCCATCCCCTTTAAATTAGACTAGCACTTTTGCGAAGACCCATCAGTAACTTCCCATTTAAAGCAAGCATATGGAAAGCTCAAAAATCCAAAACGAAGCTGATGACCAGGGTAGCCAATGAACAGAGATTTACATACCCGAACTTCTTGCTTATCGCATCGATCCCCGATAAAAACGAGGGTATCTGGACAAGATCGCTCCGCCCAAATCCCGCCTCGGAAGGACGTTGGGACACATTGTAGATAAAGAGATGGTTGGCTTAAACCAGCTTCTGCATTGAATCCCATTTTCACTTACCGTGGATGCTCGCAAAGCAATTCAGAATCTCCTAACAATGGACACGAGGTACCGATAATACATCCTGTCATCAATGTCAATTCAGCTGGCGCTTCCTAAGGTTAAGAACATATAGTTAATAAAAAATGAATAAAGGATAAATAAACATGCATATCATCATCCCCATACACTCACCGTAGTCTCAGCCCCAAAATTAGGCGGCGGCTTCCAGCTATTCGATGACGTCACCCATTCCGATTTGTCCACTTTTTCTTTGCTGGGTGATGGGGTGAACCGGATGATGTCAAGCGGGGGTTGTGTGGTAAATCTAAGCGCCATAAATATTAGGTTAAATCTAGGCATACCGTATGATATCAGGTGTGGAAAATCCTGGATAAATGGGTCGAAGTGGTTCCGGAATGTTGTTTGGATAAGGATGGACCTAAAAATTATCCGAATGATAAATTGGAATTACTTTTGTGTAGGGTTCTTCGGAAGATTTGGTGGTTTGTATATGGCCGCCTTGGGTGACGACTTCGACCTAAGAATGGTAAACGATATTAAAAATATTTTCAGATTCATTTCGGTTCTGTCATTTTTCTTCAACGCTCCATGTTCTTTAATTATTAAATGTTGTTTTAAAGTTATTCCTATTTTATGGCTTTTCCCAACAAACCTCTTCTTCCGGTACGTGCGTCCAACCGGTATTTGGGATAATCCTAGGGAGCATTTCCTCGGAATTCCTCGGCGGGATTACCAGCGGCCGGCTTAGCACCATTTTTTCAAGGATCTAGTGCAAATTTGTTTTTCTAGACCATCAAAGAGACCTGTCGCTGCCGCTCCTTTTCGATCTTGAGGGCCTTTTCTTCGGCAGTCTTTTGCGAGCGGACCATTTCCATTAATTCCTAGGCTCACTTATGATTGTTTATAAGAAAGAGCTACCTGTAAGAATTCGCGATCAGCCATTGACAGTCCGCTTCGCGATTCGGTTGACTTTTCATCAGCACCACTCTTACTAAAAGTTAGCGTATTTAATTCATTACTTACCTTTGAATCAACATCCATCGGCTTTCCCTGGTCCAAAATATATGGTGGATAGGTCATTAAAGTAGGATATTGGGAAGTGGTATGGATCTGGAACTAAATTTTTGACGCCGAGCGTTCAGAAAACATACCACTTCCCCGGAGATCGGTTCGAATGAATCGAATTTTTCCGGTGATATCTCATTTGAAGCAGATTCGGTGGCAGCCTGAGTTGTTGGAGCGGTAGTGGTGGTGGTAGTGGTGCTCGGGGTTGTTGTCGTGTACGTCACTGGCCTAGTTGTAGTTGTGTAATAGCTATAAAAAGTTTTCCTTTAAAATAAGGTTTAGAACCTGGGTCTATCCGGTTTGACCCTGCCGGATGGGGGTAGGAATGGAGGTGGTCGTCTTGGAGATGTTGTTGTCGAGTCACCCATTGGAGCTGAAAAATCATAATTTAGAAAAATAGAATTTGATTACCTGGTGTTCTAGTGAGGATGGTCCCGGGTGGAAGTCTTGGTTGTGATCGAAGAGGAGAGTGGTCGAATAACGGTCGAAGGATATGTTGTAGTGGTGGATTGGATCCATAGGGGTGGGGTATTACTAAATTGAATTATAGTTCTGTACCAAACACTCGCTAAAATAAAATGACATAAAATAATATAGAATGACATAAATATGTAAACTTAAATATTTAAAAACTACCTTTCCATTGATCCCTGTTTCGAAAGCTCCCAGCTCGCTCCCATTTCTTCATTTTGATAATCCTCATCAATACTATTACCAAACAAGTCTGAAATTTGAAATCAAATCTAGAGAAAAATGAGTACCCGGCGCCATTGTCGTGGTCCCTTTCCGATATCCAACTGTAGGTACATGTTCCTCGCTCAGACTAGCACTACCACTTCCCGACCGAACTGAGGGGATTTCGACTAAAGAATCCATATTAAAAGACAACGCTTGCAGCCTACTTGAAGCGGGTGTAGTTGAATAATATGACCATGTTTTAGTAACGGTAGGTCGAGGACGTCTTGTCATGGGCCTAAAACAAAAAAATTAGGTAAAAAAGATAGAAGCAGAAAAGTTACCTTAACGTCGTAGACCATACAATTGGCCGCATGGTGGTGCTCCGAGAAAAGGAGCGTTGCGGCGGAGTAAAAGCCGGACCAGATCTTGGCCTAGACGTCGTTTGCATGGAAGCTTCTACAAAATTGATAAAAACGTTAGCTTGATCACCCACCGTCTGATTTCTTTGTGGAATACGGCGGTCTCCTTGTTCTTGGGCGAAGTGTTGCAAGGGTTGTGGAAGCTGTAATATTGTACGCTTATCACAAGGATTAACGAAACCTTGAGTACTCGTCCGGATGCGTTGACCATTTTTTATTCTATTCCCCTTTAAAGGTCGTACAGGCCGGGGTCTCCTCGTTGTAAACAAAAATTCTTCAGCGCTAGTTGTCCCAAAGGCCGGGATCTGAGTCTTTGGTGGATTTAATTATAGAATTTTCTTACCTGCGTAATTCCAATCGCCGAATTTGGCGTGGGTTTGTATTTCTTATGCTAAATATAATCTTTTGGAAAAGGTTAGCTACCAACCAAACTATTGATAGGGATTTCGTCGGCTCTACAAACGCGGTCAACCGGGTCAAAAAGCGTGCCGGGCTGGCAGGGCACTATCCAGACGACACCGGACCCTGAGCATTGACGATATCTTGAAATGCATTATGGAAAGGGAGTTCTTTTTGGGTATTACTTGTGGGGATTTCCTTGAACTGGTTGCAGACCTCCGAAATTGTCGGCTGAACAAACTTCGCGCGTGAAAATGACGTCACCGGCCACTAAACAAATATTATTGGTAGGCTTGAGTTTGAAAATCAGTTTCTCCTGATATCGCGTTGGTTTTAATTTAATTTAAATTTAATAAAACCATTCTCAAATAAAAAGCACCTCAAACCATGCAGGTTATTAGATTCTTATTGAGGCTGTTTGGTTGCTACATCCCCACATCCTGCCCTCAAGTTTTGTATTATTGCTCACTTCCCGTTATTCTTCGGTGCCGTAAGGTATACCAAAATACTCAAAAGACCAAGACGAACATATTCATATACTTCACAGCCATATAGGCGAAATAGGAGACAAGGTGGAAAGGTTTAAGGTTACTGCGTGAGGAGACAAACTGACACTCGTACCCCTTATTCATTGACTACAAACGATCCTATCTGACTGCCGATCAAACATGGTCACCGGCATCGTTCCCTAAGAATCGCGCCTCGTGTAATCGGACCCACTGACGAGCCGGTTCGATTCGAAAGGGTGCGAGCACGCGGGATTGTCCGACAATCGCCGCAAGCAAACAACGCGATACCCGGAGGCGACGTGGCCCATGACGGAATGCCATTCCGGGAAACACCCAAAGAAAACACATACGAAATCCATGGGCCACTATTGAACTGACATCACGATGTGATACTCATCAGCATCTTACCAGGCTAAGATTTTTCTGCCATCACTGGCACTTGGCATGCAAAAAAATGGGTGCTGGACCCTCAGACGAGGGGGATCGTCGTGTGCAAATAGTGGTGATAACGATATGGTTAGGCTAGACCAAAGAACATTCATGGGATCTGAGAAGTCTAAATAAAGATTTATGGCGAAAACAAAATTGCTTAAGCTTAAAAATCTTGAATTTAATTTTATGTGAATTATAGAAATATCTTATATCGTCACGTAGGTTGACTCCACATAAGTTTTTATTATATCCTGTTTACCAACCTGTTACAATAATTACGAACAGGTGGATCCATGGCGGCATGCCACTGCTGGAAAGGAGTGTTTCTTTCGAGAAACAGCCTGGAAGTAGGTTTTTGAGTGTCGTGCTAGGTCCAAAATTCCCGAAAAAAGCACGAAGCAAAAATTCGTCTGCAAAAGCAGCCCTCGAATTTCGTAAGTATTTGATTTAAAATTATCCGAGGTGATTAAAACCAAGCGGTCGAAATGTATGCAAATAGATAGTTCAAACTTTTTCAGATCAAATATGAAATTTGACACAACAGGTACGCATTTGCTGAAATAGCGGTTTGGCCCTCCCGAAAATGGTGTAAATCCTAAAGGTAAATGTGCGCGGGTCGGGGTTCGGAAAGGTGGGGAAGAGCCGGGTCATCCAAGAACCGGAATGTGGAAGGGAACGGACCGATGGTTGGGGGCCATCACGGGAGGCGTGAAGAAGGTATCATTAGCTCGGTGAATCGAGACAATGAACCCGGACAATTTGGTTCAGGGGAAGTGGAGTGGAAAATAGCAGAGTAAGTAAGGTTTTAAATGAGTAGCATTCATGTTCTTGGACGCTTTATATAGCAATTAATAAATAGAGACCCCCCCCCCCGGGGAAAAAACTATTAAATTAAAAAATAAAGTCAGAGGAGGACGCAGCTATGTCTCTAAAAGATTTTAGGGACAAATTTAGTATTGAGTTTTACGATTTTTCGGACGTAAATTTTATTAAGACATACTGTTGGCAAATTAAACCAAATAAAAACATTTTCAACACAGTCCGGAATCGCAAGAAGCAAGATGGGTAAATGAAGCAAAGAAAAATGAGAATTCAAATTTCCATTGCAGTAGATCCTCCGTTCCCGTCCTCCTAAACTTTGGACCATGATACACATGCCACAAATTCCCGGAATATCTTCCCGCAGAGAACATCCAGCCTTGACAGGTCTCAACCGTGCTAAATAGCTGATAACTGGAGTGTAGTGGAACGTCGTGTTTCAAAGTCGAGAACAAGACAAGATGCCGGAAAAGGAGTGTCCACATGGAATGGAAAGAAATGGAGGGCGGGGTATCAATGGCCTCTAGAAGACGATGGCTGGAAACGGTCCACTCGTGGGCCCTCAACAGTCAGTGGTGACCATGTGGGCGCCATCTCTGGACACTGTGTCTCTCTCTTCACCCATCCCCACCATTTCTCACTCCAAAATCCGATACCCCATGCGGTGTGCACAACAAGAACACGGCACGCGATGGCCACTCCAGATGTTTTTTTTGTTAGTCTGGCTTCTGGAACCTAAGGAAACAGAGTTTTCTTTCTGTCACTCAGTCACACCTGCAGAAACAGACAAGAATGTATTTTAAGGGAAATTGAAGTTAGATGAAGGAGAGAGTTGGATAATTGTCGGCGTAGGCTATTCAAAAAATCCTATGAAATTCTTCTAAGAAAATGCAGACCGTGTTCCGCGTAGAAAAACGTGCTCTTAATTTCACGAATCTGTACCTTAAAGTCTAATGTCAAAAATTCAATGTTTCGGGCGGGAAAATAATTACAGTAAGGGCGACAAGCCGCGACTATTTTTAACGGTCGATAACTGATAAAGCTACGCTGCAGACACATTTTTTCAAACGCGAAACTTGCTTCCAAAAAGATTTTTGGGGCGCGAATTTTAGCCAATTTAACGCGATTTTTGGCAAAATGCTATGCAAATGTGGAAATCAGGCTTTTCCGGAAATCTGGAAACAGCTGCGTTAATAAGAAGAAATTCTGCACAAGATGGACTAGGAAACCAATAAAGTTTGCGGCTGTTATGCAAACGTATTACGGTCAGATCAAGAAGCGTTGATCCATATCGATTAGTTGCGTACTACAAAGGGATGATGAAGTAGTGGTGGGGGAATAGGTCTCTCATACGGAAGTGGTTCCCCCCTACGGGTGGGAAGTGGCGGGTCCGAAGGGGGGTAGATAAACGGAGCAATCAGGTAGATCAAGAGAGAGGGGGGCTAGAGATAAAGAGAATAACGGACAAACAAGCACATAGCCCCGGGCGGAAAGGAAGAAGAAAGAGCCCCTCTTCTGCCGGCCTTGGATTCGAGGCTTCGATGGGTACACAGGAAACTGTCAACTCTTCTCCCCGCATCCCCTTTAGGACTAACCGAAGGTATAGAGGTTGGTAGGTAGAGAGAGAGAGAGAGAGAGAGAGAGAGAGAGAGAGAGATAGTGGTCCTAAGCCACGCTCCAATAACAATCACTTGATCCGCAGCTTCGGGGTGGTACGGGAACGACGAAATGACTCAAGTGCAGTGGAAATATGGAGCTTGATAGGGTGGTTTGCATCGATCGATCAAATACCGATGTATACGGTATTTACCTGATTTTTTAGGTTCGATCCGCCATAATTCTGATCATGTTTCAATTCATCGTCCTCTTATTTGGCGATTTTGTTGCTGGTCGGGTCGTCGATTTAGCTAGATAGTTTTACGACATAGAGATTAAGGTTAATACATTCGCCTTCCAGACACGTATGCAAATTTTCTTATACCTTCTAGTATAGCCATTACAGTATTCGGCTGTTTTATTGACCGCGGGACCGCTGAACCATAAAAAAATCACGAGATTGTTCTCATAGATTTATTGAAAATCCAATGATTTGAGAATACTAAGAGTTACATCCACTTCCGACTTTTATTTATTTTTCGGGGCAAATTGTATATCTTTGGGCCTTCTAGACCGGACTGAACCGTTTTCACCTGCCCTCCATCGGGTCCCGAGCTATCATAGTAGCTTGCCCGGCAGTAGCCTCTCGCTTTAGCATGCACCTCTTACCTAGATGGTGAGTTTTTAGAAACTAATTATTTAATAATAGGTACAATTCTTGTATGCCAATTTTATTAGCTCCTGCAAATGAATGAATCTTTGTGGCTTTTTGCCTAACGTTTACGTTTAAATCAGAATATTTCCAAAAGCGATTACACTACTATAAATACAAGGATCCATTCCCTTCGACTGTTTTTGGATACCCCAAAAAACCCCGGCTTCCTGGCTGCGCCCCCATCCATTTCCCCTGACCTTTTATCCCATTCGCCAGGACCGGCCGTCTAAAGGAATCTGGTTAATTTCTTATTCCTGGGATTCCCAGCCACTTAAGGGGTCCAGGGAGGGTCCCGAAGCCAGAAGGTGTGTGTCCCGGGGAGACTGAGTGGGGGGTGAGGGGAGAGTGATGTGTTTTCCTGCTAAGACTCCGTGTTTCTTTCAGCACGTCTCTCCCGGCTTGCTCAATTCACCAGGCGGAATTCATTTGAGGGGGGAGGCCGTGGTTAGGTGGTGGCCACGGCGGGCCCATGGCCCTCTCACCTTTGGCATCTGCGGGGGGCCCCAGGCTGCCCGTGCTGAGGGAATCAATATCTGGCAGTGGTGTGGGGTGGCCAGTTGATGCTTTTTGCTAATTCATCACCAAGAGCGAGAGTGTGTGTGTATGTGTATGTGGGCGTGTCTCCCGGATTAATCGGTGTCGAGGGCCCAGGCAGGGCCCTAGAGGGCAAGAACAGGGGGGCCCCAAAAGGCACGAGTGTTAATATGGAGGGCCTTTTGTGGTAGTACTCCTCCGTCTCGGCACAATGCTTCCATCACTCGATTTTAGCCTGACCAATGCTGGTGCAGAGGCACGGGTTAGTATGAATCGTGTCGAACAGGAATATGTCCAACAGGTATTATAGAAAAACCTGGTTTTGAATGTGTATTCAAATTTTCGGTCTACTCACGTTTGGCGGCTTATTCAAAGACGGAGACAAAACCATCATCACCAAGGGTCTGGCCAAAGGTGGGTGATTTCATTAAGTTTTTAGAGTAGCCAAAATCGTTAATTTACCCCTGGGGATTGAATATTTTTTGGTTTTGAAAGTGCAACTTTTTCTTAAAATTTTTGTTCGAGACAGTTGTTTTTAAATAGTAGCAAACTAAATCTAAAAGTGTATCTCATCTCAAGCATGGATTTAATTGGAGAATTCCGACTGATTTTTACACCACTTTTAGGTCCGCGTCTTCCTTGAGCAATTAACAAAAGGTGCAGTTGTCGTGGATATCGGTAGGCTAATATCCAGATATTGCAAAACGTCAATTCTTAAGGGTGTGGTGAAGGCAAGTATCGAGTACCCGGCGGTGTTCTTCTGGGAGTAGACACTTGTGCGGAATTGCTTGTCAAGGTTTGACATCTACTGCTTTTTCTAATTCATCAGCGATTGCAGGCTCTCAATTAATCATTAAGCTAAATAAATAATTTAGGTCCCCCGATGCGGCTCGGTTGATTACGTTTTAGCTGATGCGCTCGAGATCCCATTCCGGTAGGCTTGAATTAGCATCGTGTATCCCAATTATTTTAGAAAAGCATCTGCGGATGCTGCTTTATGCGTGTCGGTGCTTCATCATTTTTCGACGGAAAGTAGACGACGGGAGGTTCTTCAACAGCTAGCAACGGTGCTTCGTCCAGGAGGTACAAATTTTGAAGTTTATGAACTCGTTTTAATTTTTTCGAATTGCGAAGTTGTCAACTTTTTTAAATTAACTTAGATTGCACTTCTCCACGCTTGGTTTAGTTTTAGGGCTTGCAATAGGTCTTTCTTTCGGAATAATCATTTTCCTTTTCTTTCCTCCTCATTCCACCCAAAAAATGATGTTACTATTGATGTCAGCTCTTTCGTCAAACCCTGGCCTATGGTCCGACAAATTGGCGCCTTCCCCCAGCCTCTATCGCCCATTTTTTATGACGTCCCTTCCCCCTCATAGCCCCACATCCGTAGAATATTTTATATCCGAAAGTAATGATCTTTGAGGGAATACAATCCTTGCAATATTTAGCTTCTCCCACGCCTGGAAGCTGCCGGGTGATGTCAGTGGTACCTATTGGCATTTTGTACACCTTACGTAGTAGTTTTTGGCTTGTTTCTTCCGACACTAGGAAAGAGTTTTACTTATTGTTTTAGTTAAAAATTGATTATGTCCCCTAAAGCTGCACTTTTTCAGGCAAACTTCTCATCTACGTTTGGGCGTATGAGCAGCCAAACGGAGAGTTTCCTTCTCAGGTATCCAAAATTCAATAGCTTCACTGCAATTTGTTATTCGAATCGCAGGATGTGCTCGTTCCGTGGAATCTACACGAGACAGCTGTAAATGGCCGTCTGCCTCAAGTCCGTTTTCACAAAGATTCGACGAAAGAGCAACGGATAATCCAGGTATGGCCCATTTCCATTCCCGAATCCACTGGGCCCTCGTCTTTTGGGATTAGCCGTCGGGGTCCCTTGACGACCGAAAGAAAATCCCGGGGGGCAAACCCTTCAAAAAATGATCTACAAGGATTGGGAACTCAAGTACAAATCTTCAGGGGTTCTCAGGGATCAGTAAATGACCGGAAATTGCAATTTCGCTAAAAGGGGGCTGGACTTTGGGCCCGGTTTGAGGGTGAGGAGCATAATTAAAAATGATTATTTCAGAGTTCGATAGCGGTCAACATTCAAGCAGAAGAAGCAATCTCATGCCCCTCGCCATCTTGGTTGATGACAATTGTTGAGAAATTGAAATTTATAAGGAAAACGGCTGCCGAACTGCCACCAGCAACACCCAGGCAAAACTAGGCTAATTTTCTCATCACGAAACTTTAGCTTTAACCCGACCCCTCGCAGTTCTTCTACAATATTGACTGGAATCCGAAAATGGAGTCCGATGCTTGGTAAGAGAATGAATAGTTTATGTGTAAAGTGAGAAACAGGCAAAAGGCTGGCTTCATTGTTGATTCCGATCGAGGAACAATTGGCTGATGAGATGACGCAAGATATTATGCAAACAGCTTTACAGGAGACACTTGCTACGTTACGAAAAGTTAGTCATTTTTATCAAAAAGCAAATGGGAAATAAACAAAAAAAATATTATCAAATTTTAGGTGACATTTTACCGTTTCTACCACGTCTTCAAAAAGGGTGAACTGGAAACGTTGTTGTCTAGTGTTTCCGGACTGCGGGTGGTTTCATCGCAAATTGAGCACGGGAATTGGTTGGTTTAATTAGCTTTAAAGATTTTATAGAAAAGCTTTACAATTTGTGGATTCAATTGCAGCATGAACACCTTTTCTAGGTGCGTTGTGGCCGAGAAACTACCAGACGCGTCGAAATTGCGAGTAATATGAGTCGACAGCTTGCAGCGCGGCCAGACACATTCCCTAATAGGATGATGATTATACAAGATATCATTTTGTTACATATACCTTACGAATACGTTTTTTTATGAATTTATCCACATCGATCCCTCAATCTATACTCAGTTTTATATTATTATTGATTGAAGAAGGATAAATATGTTTTCGGATCATTAACTTTTCAAGATATTGTCAAGACCTCACTAATAGAACTTAAAACTGCTCTAGTGCGGGAAAGTAAAGATAAATTAATACACACTAACGTTGTTAGCCAAATAAAATCAAGAACCAAGGTGCTGTGAGTCCATAGAGGCTTGTTGCCCCGCTTAATTAACTTTCCCAGAGGATTTGATTTCAGATTTGCTAATTTACAGTAAAATAACCGAAAACACGGGTAAATAACCGTAAATTCCTCAAAAATGGGCAAATTGGGCGGGGGGTAACTTGGCACGCTGAACAGGCATGTGTCATCTATGAACTTTTGTCGCTCGCCGGAAAGGGCAAAAAAGGAACATACTACACAAAAAATCTCGGATATTGGGCATCCAGTCGATATCCTTGATTGATTTTTGATATTTAGTGCCCCATCTTCGTTTTTATGAGCAATGACTTTTAAAAGATGTGAAAATATTTTCCGTTTTGAGTTGGCTTTACGCCCAGTATTATTCATCAGTTTTGAATTTTCCCTCGGCGCTTGAGAAAACTCGGTCGAGTTCCAAGAATTATATGATTTTTTTTTCGGCGGATTACCTAGGACTCTTCACGAGTTTTGATTCATCAATTAGTACGCTATGCTTTTCAAGCACGGCGAACTTGAATCCAACCTCAGAATATCTTTCCCACTACATTATCAACCAGCCACAGACCGGCATAGGGACCAAAGCGGAACTCATTACCTTCCGCCGGTTTACCACCCAACCTTTTTGGCCAGCTGCGCCCTTTTCCCCTTGTCGGGTAAATTTTCGGCTCGCCCACGTACCCACACAGGTGTTAATTTTATCTTTTCGTTTGGTATTCTGGTCGGGATCAATTTATCACATCTTACATAGAATTGCGTGCAAAAAATGAAAACGCCAAAAGCATTCTACGAGTTACCTTCACGGAAACTATTTTTTTTAAATAGGTGACTGTGGGTCATATCGCCAATTCGGGGAAACTCCGTTTGGTCGGAAGGGCTATCTCTTTTATACCGAGATCGTATTTACATCCATATCGTCTGTAAAATTGACAATAATAACATACGATCTGTAACTCTCTCCGTATTTGAGCTCAAAGACGGGTATGATTTATTGGTTCCGCCCCCACACTCTTATTCCCAGATAGCGTCATCCGAGGCCATCACATCCTAAATTCAATTCCATTCTGGGATGTCGAAAAACCGGTGGGCACACTTAGGTTTGCTATATACAGCTGGAAATAGACAGGTGATCCGTAATCCGCCTAACCCCCGAGAGCCGCGTCCGGCTCCCGCCTTCATCCCCTCAGTTTTTGCCCCTGCTCACCAACGAAGGAACTGTCTGGAAAAATTATTCCAACCCTCTGTATATTTATTGATCCAACTAGGCCGGAACTGTACGACAGTAATTCTCGGTTACGGATCCGGAAGCTTGACACCCCAAAGCAATGCAATATGCGGAACCGAATCCCATGCCTCCCCCCATCTCTACTATCCCGATTAGGGCTTCAACCGAACAAAAGGAAACGTAAGTTTGCGGTGCGGACACCCCGTTTTTCGCGTTGTCAACCCCTACAATCCATCAGTTCACCAAACTCCACCAAAGTTTTTCCATCAAAATATTCCCATCGTATGGCTCGTTTTAATCCTGAACACCAAATCGGCCGTCTTCATGACGTGGTTGATATAAAATATCGAAAAATCTGGTTTCCTATACAAGCCTGCACTTTTTGCAATACACTGGGGATTTTATGTCGTGTCCCAAAATTTAGTTCTCGTATTCAGCCGCCCCTACAGAAAATCGCAGCTTGTTGTAGTTCCGTCGTTAGACTATCGATTTCGGTTACGAAAAGCGGTATTGGTGGACTCTAGTTGTTCGGCTATAGAGATCAGTAATTACCAGTTATGCCCTTGCTCATTATCCAACTCTAACTGGCAGCGAATGGCTGCCTCTCCAGAAACCCCTAATGAATCTGTGGGGGTTGTGTTTCGGAACCGGGCCATTGATTCGTGTTTTTCGGGGATGTCTATTTTGAGGCGTATATAATGAAGAAAAATCCGGTTGTAAAGTGTAATTTTCAGGCGGCAGTTTGAGGTGGTGACCGGTCCTTTGCCAGACGTCGTATATCCTTCACGATTGGCACAACAGCAGAAGGCTGCACAAGCTGCGAAGGCTCCGAAGCGTAGGAATAAGCAAGGCCAGGGGTGAGTGGTTTTTTTAGTGTGTTGTGTTTGATCTATCTTGTATGTTTTTAACGTGTGTTACGCTGTTAGGGTAAGTTAAAGTAAATAACTTCGCAGCTTTTCAATCCTCGGAAAATTTCAAAGCAAAAACTTAATTTTGAATTAGAAAACGCTTTTCCGCTTTTGCAAACGTATATACTAGATCAGGCGTTTTACATGTAATAACGTTCTTACATACTTTAAACGATTTTTAAGATATTCTAAGACTACTTAAGGCTGGTCTCAAATCTTTTAAGGCATACCGTTTTAAATAGTAATCACTTTTCATTCGCATACTCAGGTTGTTCCAGGTTAATTGTGGGGTGTTAGGACGTCTCGTAGGGCACCTCTTAGGGCCACATTTCCTCCAATCCGCCCTCATCCTAGGCCCTTCCGGTGGGTACCATCAACCTTATCCTCCCACAATCGCCCTAATCCTCCATCTAGTAGTCATCTGCTTACTAACATCCGGCAGCCCAAGCAGACTCTAAGCCCCTAAAACTAGTAATTTCCAATATCTGAAGTATCCACAGTTTGCAAAACAAAAATCCTACTTCCGAGAATCACAGATGCTAAAAGAAATACTGCAACTCCCTCAAGCAATGTTATTATTAATTTTGAATAGCCGTGGGCGTGTGGGGGGAACCGTATTCGTGAACGTAAAACAGATTTAGCGTTGGAATTAGGCTCGGAAATGTTCGAATGGAAAACCACCCCAGAGAGCAGCGTTGAACGAGAATCTCCCCGGAGCTCCCTGGTCAAACCCTGGGATCCAGCAAAAAAATTGGGGTAACGGCGAAATTCGCGGGGTTAGTTCCCAAATTAGGCCCCCGTTACGCAACCTGCCATTTGGGAATTTCATAGGGGCCGCAGGTTCACGCGGCACCTCTAATCCGCCCCACTTTCTTTCCCGGATGCAATTGGCGGTTGTTTTGGAAATTGGTCGACGATTTTACTAATCGTAAAGTTTAAATTTTATATTTATACATAGGGCTTATTTTTGTATTCGATTGGAACTTTTGTAAGTCTGAGTTAACAATGACTCACTACCAATATTGATTTTACCTCGACATCTTTTTTCTTACCCGGGTCCTTCCAAAATAATTTTTTTTGTAGATTTTTAATGGCATACCTATCCATTTAGCTCTTCTAATTTTCTAATTGTCACATTTAGGTCGAGCTCCAATTCGGCGATGCCCCTATCGAACGACGTGAAATGCGAGCCGGATGTGAGTTTTTATGGGCGTTTTTCTGAGTAAAATTGGGACCATTTTCCCCGGCATTATAATATTTGGGATGGGTCAATTTTGTGGGTTTGCAATGAGCAGCATAATGGCTGTCCATTAACGGACAGAATCGAATATGAAAATTGGCTTCTGGTCACCCGCGTGCGGCCCACTCTTCATGCATGGACCCCTTTCATTTTTCAAAGAGGGTTTTGATAATTGACCTTATAATACTGTAGTTTTAATAAGCACAAATGATCCGTCATTTTTGGCATTAGAATTTCTTTGCGTTTCATTGATAGCGTTTGCGATGATGACAACGAAAATTCAGACCGCCAATCGAGACATAATAGCAACGTTGCAGCAAATTTTCTAGCGATTTCATCCCGTTAAAACGCATTTCCTTTCCTTATTTTTTAATTATTCAAATTTAATATTACCAATGTAAAATCCAACGTTTTGCAAATTGATAGTCAAATATTAATAATCTTTTAATTTCATAACGGTCGCAATGTAGATCAATTTAGCTTTGGTTGAGGATTTCACGCGGTTTTGTACTTCGACATTATGATTTTGTAACTTCTACCAGATATATCCATTTTAAATTGTAACCCCGAATGATATCTGAAAAGTGAAGAATGTGATCGCGCCAATGAGTGTGAAAATTACCTTTTCGGCTCGGACATACAGTTCACCCAGCATCATTATGAGTATAATATCACAGCAATTAGCATAATCCTATTATCATAATGCATCCCGAAGGATGCTCTCCAAAAATTGGTGGTGTGACCATCTTTGATGATCGCCGGTCCCTTAATACACAGAAAATGCCAATTCGCACTCTGACATCTTTGGGCTGGAGATGGCCTGGGTTCATATAAAATAGTGGGCCAGGTGAGCGTCTTTTACTGTGAGGTAGATCCATGAAGCACAAAGTACACTATCGGTACGAGCATAAACCATCAGCAGCCGTTATAAAATGGAAAAATGGCTTGTGCTTGTTTGATGAACGTTTCTGTACTGTTTCCGGGGGGCAGGGGGCGGCGGCGGCGGCGGGCGAAAAGCTATTTAGCCCAAAACTACCTAGTAAAAGCTTTGGCGTCTCTTTTTAGCCGTCTTTTAAGTGTTTGTTGATGTTTTTGAAGTTTTTGAGTACGGAGAGCCGTAAGGTTCTATTTAGAAATGAAAACAGTTGGCCGTTGCGGCCATTGTTGCAAATTTTGGAAAAAAAATCAAAAAGCTTCCCCGATTCTCAGAATTTTAACCTTCCTGGGCATAAAAACAGCGTAAGAAGCTACATAAATGGTGTGATTTTCGTTATTGCGGCCTTCTGAGGTCCTAAGTTAAAGTTAAATCTCCGCTAA